TCAGGTTTTTTCAGCTCTGGCTCTGGGAGTGGCTGCCTTTGAATTGCTACAACTTCTAAGACGCTTACCTCCTTGTAGTAATACCCTCCTTAAACTGGATCCTGATTTTTATTTGAATAAATACAACTGGATAGATCCAGTGTGAAAAAAATTATTATTATAGCAAAGAAACCCAGAGTAATGAAATTAATGGGAGCATTGTAACTTATCTGTTATTTGGGACTCTTCATGATAACAGAATAGGTCCAGTGGACACACTGCCAAGAATGTACCGACTAAAAAATATAGCCACAACCTGAAAATTGTTGTTCAGTCGCTTGGTGGTTTCCAACTCTTTGTGACCCCATGGACTGCAGCACGCCAGGTTTCCCTGTCCTTCACCATCTCCCAGAGCTTGCTCAGACTCATGTCCATTGCGTCCGTGATGCCATCCAACTATCTCATCCTCTGTCACCCCCTTCTCCTCCTGCCTTCAATCTTTCCCAGCATCAGGGTCCTTTCTAATGAGTCTGCTCTTCACATCAGGTGGCCAAAGTGTAGGGTTATTTTATTCGGTGGAAATGTTTAGGATTTATTTTATTCGGTGGAAATGTTTAGGATTCTGAACCATGGAGACAGCATCTCAGTAGCTCAGAGAAAACTGCTCCAAGGAGGCAGGAGGGGAGGTCAGGCCGTATACAAGTTTGCAACAAAGGGAGCTGGCAGTCTGAACATCAAAGGTCAGGTAACAAGTTAAGGAACTTAGCATTCTATATATGGGAAGGTGAAAGTCTCTGGGCTCACTGAATTCATTCCTTTCATGTGCAGCTCAGCTATCTGGGGCCAAATCCTATTTTCCTTGTTCACCCTGTTTCTTGCATTCCCCCAGCTCCCCAGAAATCACCGTGGTGGGTGGCAGCATGCACTGGATCACAGTTTTGGGAGCCCTCATTCACATCTGGAGGCCAGAAATTGCTAATGGCCGTGACATTTCTTGTTTATTAATATGGCAGGGGATATTCTCACTTCACACATGTCTCTAGAATTGAACATTTTATGTGCCCACTGTGTCCGTGATGCTCATCTTTTGATTTGGAATGTTCCTTTTTAACTTCTATCACTGATTCTCATAGGACCTACTTTTCACTGAAGGCGCAGTGGAAGGATACAGTTTTCTTCAGCCTGCTGGGGTACCTGAGACTGTTATCAGTATGTGGAAGGAAACATCCTGTGTTCAGGAAAAAAAAAAAGTTAATAATCCTGACAGCTTCAAACACAACTCCACCAACACCTGAAAACACCTCTGTTATGAAAATGTGTGCTAAAATACCACATTTCAAATGACAATAGAATACCTATTTTTATAGGACAAATTATTTTAGATAGTTAATGCAATTGCTAATCTTTTAAGGCTCACTGGTTAAAGCATAACTTAAATGCATTTATTTTGGGTGAAAAATACAGTCTTCATAGGAGTGAGCATATGTTGTTTAGTCACTAAGGCATGTGTGACTCTTTTGCAGCTCCATGGCCTGTAGCCCACCAGGCTCCTCTGTCCATGGGATTCTCCAGACAAGGATACTGGAGCGGGCTGCTATTTCCTTCTCCAGGGGACCTTCCTGCCCCAGGCATCAAACCTATGCCTCTTGCACTGGCTGGTAGGTTCTTTAAACCCCTGAGTCACCAGGGAAGCCTAGATAAGCATATGCCAATACATGTAAATGTATGGAGTGGCTGAGTCCAACAAATAAATTTGTCAATAGACCATAGCTAAAATGTGTCACTTTCTTTCTTAAACTGGATAGTCTAACTGCTTTTCCTTATTATGTGAATGACACATTTTCCTTAGGTATCCAGATCTAGGTTCCAACCTCTGAATCATCCTTTGGCCCATCTCCAGCCTATTTTATGCAATTTCGATAATTTTCCCTTTTCCTTTATCTCATTGCCACAAACCTTGTTAGATTATTATGTATTTCTCACACACATTATTGCCAGAGCCTCTTAAATAATCTTTACTGTCCAGGTCTACCCAGCCTAACTCAACAGATAACCTTCCCTCATTCTAATAATGTCAATATTCTACTCCAAAACCTTACCATTTGAATTTAAATATTTTTGGAAAGTTGCCTTGTGACAAAGCACCATTGTTCCCAGACACAATAGATGAGCCAGACAATGTGTTTGCTGTTTGCATCTGCCCCTTCTGCCAAGCCTGGGAGTCTCCAACTTCTCCCTAAAGCCGCCGCCTGCTCCTTACAGAGTGACCTCTGCACTTGCTGTGGTCCAGTTCTCCCTCCAGCCACAGGTCACTCAAAGATGCTCTGTCTTGGAGATAGACTGACCATGCGAACCAGGGATATTACCCCCAAGGGGGTGAAAATTGCTGAGGAACAAAACCCATTCTCTTTATGTGTGCTGTGCTGATATAGAGAGATAGAGGCGTGGGGTGTCTCTTAGCGGGTGGGGTGATTAGAGGAAAGAGGTGTCTGAAATATCATTTTAGCGGGGATTATAGGAAAACAAGAATGAGGCCCCAGTGCTTTCTGATTCAGGTGAGGCTAAGAAGCTTGGGTTTCCATAACTGATTGCGGTGAGCATTGAGGCATCATGGCCAGCAAGATTTCCTTAAAACGGAGACCCTCATTCTCAGCTACTGAGTATTGGTTATTGACAGGGGAAAAATTACCATCCAGTATCACTACATCATGGATCAGAATGTCCAAGAGTTTCTCTTAAAATTTCTGTTGGTAAATACCTAGAAAGACTAAATGCAATGTTCTCATCAAGGTGAGAGATAATCTCCAAGTGTCCTAAGTTCTTCCTTCCCTGTATTCCTAATATTAGAAAGAAATCTTAATTAATAAACAATTCACAGAGTAATTAATAAATAAGGGGATAATTATGTAGCACTGATGATAGTTACTTCTTGAACATCAATTATGGTTCTGTCAGGCTGAAATTCTCAGTTCCATTTTTCCTTTTGACTCACAAAATAATCTCATAGGTGTGTAGTAGTATCAACATCCTGCACTTGAGTGAACGGAAAACTTGAAAAACCCAAGTGACTTACCAAAAGTCAAAAAGTAGTGCTTGAAAGTTAAGATTCAAACGTTGGTCTCTTTAAGGCAAAATCCTATCATCTTATCCACTGATGTACCAGAAAGAGAGCCCATTAAAACCCACTTTAAGCAAGGCCCTATAAGTGATGCTCTATGTCAAGGCAGACGTATTCCCGGGAAACTGGAATTAGGACCACAAAGCAAGGGGCAGGGAGAAGAAGCTCCCAAGTGTCGGTTCACCGGATAAGAACAAGTATGCTGGTGGCTCAGTTGTAATGCGTCTGCCTGCAACGCGGAATCCCTGGGTCGGGAAGATCCCCTGGAGAAGGAAATGGCAACCCACTCCAGTACTCTTGCCTGGAAAATTCCATGGACTGAGGAGCTTAGTAGGCTACAGTCCATGGGGTCACAAGGAGTCGAACACAACTGACCGACTTCACTTTCTCTCTTTCTATGCTGAAAGTCAGAATCCAAGGGTAAGACAGTGTTTCCACATGGTCTACAGTTGAACTCTAATTTTATGAAGAGACAGAAATGTGTTTTCAGGGGCTAAAATGTATAAGGTATCCAACCAAACACACTCATAAAGCCAGACATTTATGTTTGAATTAATGATACTTAAAGTGACAGATGGGCTTCCCTGGTGGCTCAGTGGTAAAGAATCCACCTGCAATGCGGGAGACGCAGGTTTGATCCCTGGGTCAGGAAGATGCCCCGGAGGAGGAAGTGGTGACCCACTCCAGTATTCTTGCCTGGGAAATCCCATGGACAGAGGAACCTGGCCAGCTACATAGTCCATGGGGCCACAGAGAGTCAGGCAAAACTTGGCAAGGGCTAAGGGCTATCTGGAATATATTCAGGGCTTTGAATCTGACAGTTGGTCTGTGGTCCTAACTTTATGTAATTCCTTTAAGGAGTCACACAATTGGCTACTTAAGAAAAATACGCTTGTTTGAAAGTGACATCTGAGACTTCTTGGTAAAGCAAGGAGAAAGCTGATGTTATTGCTGCAAGGATGTTTATTCACAAGTTGTTCTCCTCCATAACTGCATTTTCATCATTTATAGGAGGAAGTGGTGACCCACTCCAGTATTCTTGGAGTATTTCCCAGTATTTTCCTGGGAAATCCCATGGACAGAGGAACCTGGCCAGCTACATAGTCCATGGGGCCACAGAGAGTCAGGCAAAACTTAGCAAGGGCTAAGGGCTATCTGGAATATATTCAGGGCTTTGAATCTGACAGTTGGTCTATGGTCCTAACTTTATGTAATTCCTTTAAGGAGTCACACAATTGGCTACTTAAGAAAAATACGCTTGTTTGAAAGTGACATCTGGGACTTCTTGGTAAAGCAAGGAGAAAGCTGATGTTATTGCTGCAAGGATGTTTATTCACAAGTTGTTCTCCTCCATAACTGCATTTTCATCATTTAGTGTCAACATTTCGTATTACTGAATGAATGAATTCATTAAATATGAGTAAATGATTGTGTAGCTGTTTTTGGACTTTCGGTACACAGCATGTCTATTAAAATTAATTAGGTTGGCTTTTTAAAGGGTTAAGACAAAACTTCTGATAAGATAAGTTTAGTGATTGAAAAATATAGACACACAAGTGTGAACAGGTTCTTTTATTCTTGAGTCCCTTTCCCCACTCTTTTCAGATTAGTCTGGGGTAATTAAGTCTGTGTCCTGCTGGGCAAAGTCCTCTCCTCATTACTGTCTTTCTGCTCCCCTCTCTTTCCTATTGACACTGATAGACCTCGAGACTGAAAATAGATACTAATTATTTTCCACCTTTACCCCTCACTGTTCAAAGCAGTGAGTGATGTCTTGACTGTGACATTAGTTCAGAGCTCATTAAATCACGCAGGATGAATGAACTCACAAGAAGAAGGATTTCGTTGAGTTAAAAGGACAAATAGCACAAGGCACAGAAAGTAAAACAAATATCATGTAGAAGACGTTCCCATTCCGTTTTTAATGCTTGTGGGGGCCATACAGAGGGTGATGCTCCTCTTGGTGGTCACAAGGCATCTCTCTATTGTTGCTTTTTCACATGAATCAGCACCAATAATTTGCCCAACTCTTGACCTTCATGTCCACTGTCCAGCTTCTGAGGAGATGAAGCTAATGGAGAAATTATGTGAAAAATAATTTCTGGATTCGTGGGGCACTTGTGTTGATGGAACTTCGTGAGGACTTGGGACTCTGGGATCATCTGTTACCTGAATTGTACCTCCTGCCTGCACACAGACATATTTAAGAGTCTCATCCTGTAGTCATGGAGAGAAAAATTCACTCCTGAGGAAATAAATGCTCCTATCATGAAAAAAAAAAAAAAGAGAAAACAAGAAAATTCAAAACAAAAAATGCTACCAGCAATATGTAAAAAACGACCATCAGTTGACTGCTTTTGTTCAGTCACATCTCATCCACAAAGAATGTTTTGTGGTCTGAAAACATGACAAAACTGCCTTGTCTGTAAGCTATTAACATGCAGATTGTGAACTCATTAGTTCAGTTCAGTTTAGTTCAGTCGCTCAGTCGTGTCTGACTTTGCAGCCCCATGGACTGCAGCACGCCAGGCCTCCCTGTCCATCACCAACTCCCGGAGTTGACTCAAACTCACGTCCATTGAGTTGGTGATGCCATCCAACCATCTCATCCTCTGTCGTCCCTTTCTCCTCCCGCCTTCAATCTTTTCCAGCATCAGGGTCTTTTCAAACAAGTCAGCTCTTCGCATCAAGTGGCCAGAGGATTGGAATTTCAGCTTCAACATTTGTCCTTCCAATGAATATTCAGGACTGATTTCATTTAGGATGGACTGGTTGGATCTCCTTGCAGTCCAAGGGGCTCTCAAGAGTCTTCTTCAACACCACAGATCAAAGGCATCAATTCTTTGGAACTCATCAGTATAGGTCCTCAATGATCAATCTATCATTAATTTTATAATGGAATTTACAAAGCAATTTTGGATTTACACACAAACTCTGTATAACACCCCTACAGGGTAGAAAAGGCCTTTTATACCTCTTATAGATGAAGACACCTAGGCTCAGAGACCTTCAGTGATGATATAAAATTACCATTCATAACTGATGAAGCTGGAACCAAACCTCAGTTCTCCTGATATTTACTCAGGGTTTTTCCTGATACTCAGTGATAAAATATGTCAAGGTATAATACAAATAATATGATGGCTATCTGTATATGTTGCCTGGGCCGTGGGGCACCCAGATATTTGCTTTTGCTTGATATAAACATCTAACTTGGTAGATTGAGTAAAGCAGTCTTATTTTTTTTTCCACTTTCTAAGAACTAACTTTATTTATTTACTTATTTTTTCCATTTATTTTTATTAGTTAGAGGCTAATTACTTTAACATATTGTAGTGGTTTTTGCCATACACTGACATGAATCAGTCATGGATTTACATGTGTTCCCCATCCCTATCCCCCCTCCCGCCTCCCTCTCCATCCCATCCCTCTGGGTCTTCCCAGTGCACCAGCCCCGAGCACTTGTCTCATGCATCCAACCTGGGCTGGTGGTCTGTTTCACCCTTGATAGTATACTTGTTTCAATGCTGTTCTTTCAGAACATCCCACCCTCGCCTTCTCCCACAGAGTCCCAAAGTCTGTTCTGTACATTTGTGTCTCTTTTTCTGTTTTGCATATAGGGTTATCGTTACCACCTTTTTAAATTCCATATGTATGCGTTAGTATACTGTATTGGTCTTTATCTTTCTGGCTTACTTCACTCTGTATAACGGGCTCCAGTTTCATCCATCTCATTAGAACTGATTCAAATGAATTCTTTCTAATGGCTGAGTTGAGTAAGGCAGTCTTGGTCTCTCTCTGTCTCTGCCTGTCTCAGACTCTGTAGCTCCCCCCTCACCCCCACCGTATCGGCTCTGTTTCTTCCCTGGAGAGCTCTGACAAACAGAGTTAGTCTCTCTGATTCATAGGTGGCACTAGAGTTTCATCATTAGGAGTTTAGCAAAGGCAAAAACTAGATGAACAAATTTAGTTACTCAAATGTCTGGTTTTAAGGCACAGAGAAGAATTCAATGTATTATTTTTGCTTGGCCTCTGTCATTTGTAAGGAAATTGGATTATCTTCTACTCCAGAGCCTTGCATAGCTTCTAAACTAATTAAAAAAAAAAAACAACTACTGACCACTGGAACATTTTTATAAAAACATCAAAAATGTGTTAATATACTTTCACATATCTGAGAAGAACATGTTTTTACTGTATTATGTACTGTGTATGAGGATTAAAGGGATCCCCAGGTGGCTCAGTTGGTAAAGAATAGGCCTGCAATGCAGGAGATGCAGGTTTGATCCCTGGGTTGGGAAGATCTCCTGGAGAAGGAAATGGCAACCCACTCCAGTATTCTTGCCTGGAAAAGTGCATGGACAGAGGAGCCTGGTGGGCTATAGTCCACGGGGTCGCAAAGAGTCAGACACGACTGAGCATGTGTGCATGCACATGCACACACACACACACACACACACGAGGATTAAATCTATTTTGATCAAACACTTGGAGATGCAAGTTCATGTCATTCCTTAAAGGAAAATGTCCTCTGCACAGACAGATGGACGAAAAGTCTTCTCACATTTACCAAGTCAGACTTACCTCCTTCAAGAAGATACTCTGAGTCCATGTTTTATCTCAGATAAGCATGGTAATAGATACCTATACAATAGTTTTTACACTTCTGAGTTCTATTTTCAAGACAGATGATTGTTGTTACTGTTCAGTTGATCAGTCAGGTCTGGCTGTTTGTGACCTCATGGACTGCATCACACCAGGCTTCCCTGTCCCTTAGTATCTTGCAGAGTTTGTTCAAACTCAAGTCCACTGAGTCAGTGATGCCATCCAACCATCTCATCCTCTGTCATCCCCTTTTCCTCGTGCCCTCAATCTTTCCCATCATCAGGGTCTTTTCTAGTGAGTTGTGGCCAGAGTATTGGAGCTTCAGCTTCAGCATCAGTCCTTCCAATGAATATTCATGGTTGATTTCCTTGAGGATTGACTGGTTTGATCTATCTAAGGTAGATGATATATCATAGATAAATAGGAACTGACTAGCTACCTAGATAGACAGACAGGGCCTTAGTGTACCTGGCTAAATGTGGTTTTTCACTTCAACATTTCTTACTGAAGTTTCTCTTCTCTGCTTTCCTAGGACTCTTCCTTGGAAGTGGAAATTACAGGTCACACCTGGATTTGGTGCCTGTAGGCTTGCACACCTCAAAGTCAGGCATCATAGGAAAAAGGGACAAGTGGGAAGTTTGTCTTCCTTCTGTAAGGTGAGGGAAGCACCATTGTGAAAGCGGAGACGAAAAAGAGAAACAATTAACCACAAGGCACTCAGACACATCAAGCTTAGGAAAGAGCTCATGGGGTTGGAGGATCTGGAAACTGACTCCTTTAAAGCTCAGTCAAACATGCTTCTGCATGTCCAAGAAATTGTTTCAAATTTGTACATATAAAAATGCTTTGTTTGAAAGTTAAAAAGCACATAAGAAACAACATAACATAAGGTCAAATGGCTAACTCTACCAGGATAGAGTCTAGAAACCATTTGGGTCAATGAATGGCTTATTTATGACAAAGATATAGATACTGTCTAAGGGCAGCACGCATTTTAAATAACCGTGGTGTAATTACTGTTCTGAATCTTCCTGGAGAGTCAGGAGCCCACGTAATGAGGCCTGGAGAAAGATGGGTATCTGATATCTCAGTAACTAAACCTCTGCGTCTTGTCTGTATCTAATAACTGAAGATAATAAAGGTTAGGAAAGTGCTCTGTGTTAATTAATGTTCTAGAGAAGAGAATGTTTCTCTTCATAAGAAAAATAAGCATCAAGAAATGTTCTCAGCTGCAGTGAGCAATCACAAAGACAGCAGATTCTATGACTGTTGTCTGCCATCTCTCTCTAAGAAATAAAAGACTGCGTTTTTACACTGGAAAGCTAACATGGGGAAGAGTTTAGATCAGTGAAATGAGAGGTAGGAAGTACCCTGGATGTGTATGCATCTGAGTATCTTTATCTATCTATCCATCCATCTATCTTCTTTGTCTTTCTTTCGCTCTCTCAATAGTGAGGAATACTTCTTTGAGAATTATTGACTTTGTAAGAACTTCATAGGCTTTATGAGAACAAACTCTCTCAGGAACCTTAGGACCTAGGAAAAGCAGTCCCTAAAGTTGGTGCCAGGCCATCACCACCCAGAGAAGTCATGACATATCTTGAGAACCCAAGACAAGGGTCCGTCAGTGGAAGCTGCTTCTTGGCTCCACCTTCACCCCAGCAGGGCAACAGGAAGACCTTATCCAGCGTCTCAGAGTTTCAAGGACTCTGAAAAGACAGACCCCCTGTGGGAACAAACTCTTAGGGGAGCAGCTGTGCCCAGCGATCGTGTCCTGATCAGGCACTTAGGGAGACCAGTGGAGGGGTCAGAGGTCATATCGGTGCAGGGAGTGATGCGACAAGAACTGGGGGTGAAAGCGGCAAGGTTGGGTCGATCGCCTTAAGGAAGGGGCCCAAGTGCAGTACAGTAAGTCTGCTGTCCGCGTTAGGGGTTCCTTGCATGCAGCCCTTCTCTGCTGGTGCTCAGAGACGAAGCACAGGTGTCCCGGGACTCCAGTCCCCAACGCATCCTTCTCCCTGCATCATCAGGCGGCATGAGGTGAGGGCCATCGGTGAATGTGGCCAGGGCTCCGGGTCCCTGGGCTGCAGGCACAGGCTCTGCCGGAGCAGCGCGCCATGCGGGGCCATCCCGCAAGGCGCGTGACATCCAGGGACAATCGGTTCAGAGCAGAGGAGCCCTAGCCCCCTTCCTGCGGTCGGCACAGCTCTGAGGGACCCTCCGAGAAGCCAGGACGATCCCACAGCGTGTTTTCTCCTCCAAGACCCTGGGCTGCTGTCCGGGAAGCTTTCAAGCATCCTGTGACTTGGTCCTCCCTGGGAACACAGCTGTCGCAAGGCTCAGCGCACAGGCTCTTTCTGGCTGGAGGTTGGAGGTGGGGTCTCCAGCAGGGCCCCCCACCCCCACCCTACCGCCCCCACCCCGCATCAGCTGCAGCTCTGTGCAGGCATTCACCCTGATGATCCTCTGCTGATGGAGGTGAGGGTGGAATAAGGATGTTTTCCTCACTTGGAGGGCAACCATCTGAGCTGAAATCTCCCTTGTTCGCCAGCTGCCAAAGTTGCCCTTGAAAAACACTCCCCAGTGTGGGTTTAAGTGGTTTTCAGTTATTCTAAGTAGTTTTCAGTGATTTGCTTTGAAAAGGAGCATTTGGGTTAGGTATTCACCATCTGATAAATCGCAGTCTTTAATTCCATTCAAAGCATCCATTCTGCATGCTGGATTCTACAGTCTTATGAGATAGCCAATGAAGGAATTAACTGTGTCAGCCTAATTTGCCCCCTGTTGTATCTTTCCACTGAGGTAAGTGATATCTCTTTTGAGACAACATTTCTCACTTTATTAAGCTGAAATTTAATTCTACACACAATGGAGAGCAACAGATGAAAACAAAATTCACAAGGGAGCCAGGACTTTTGGCAAGATGGAGGCCCATGGGCTATTTTAGAGGTGGAGGTCATTAGTCATTAGTGTTAGTTACTCACTTGTGTCTGACTCTCTGTGACCCCGTGGACCGTAGCCCACCAGGTTCCTCTGTCCATGGAATTCTCCAGGCAAGAATACTGAAGTGGGTAGCTATTCCCTTCTCCAGAGGCTCTTCTTCAGGGTATCTTCCCAACCCAGGGATCGAACCCAGGTCTCCTGCATCACAGGCAGATTCTTTATGACTTGAGCCACCAGGGGAGCCCTGAAAGTGGAGAAGGGAAGTCCTAAGAAAGAGAGTGATAAGGTCCATTCTCATTGGCTGGAATGGTAATAGTTACAGAAGATAGATAGTCCCAGATACAGAGATGGTGGAAACGGTAACTCTTCCAAGAAATAAGATGAGGACATTTCTTTGGTACCAGGAGCAGGTGTCTCAGCTGTGAGTGGGGTGGGCCGGGGGGAGGGGGGAGGGTCTGGGAACATGAGACAGGACAGGTGAGTCTTGGGTTTCTGCTCCCATTGTGGGCACAAAGCCAGGTCTCCGATGAGGGCATTCATCTGCAGCAGGGGACCTGCAAGGGTACCGGAGTATATCTGAAGATAATTATCTCACTGTTTGTCATCTGCACAAGAAAACTGGACACATCCACTTGTCTCCACACTGAGTTGAAACAGAAAATGAGCTGGTGGCCAAGCAAGAGGGCTGGCAGAGCCAACTGTTGGCACTCCCTGCACAAAATCAGTCTAGGAATTGAGGTGGCTCTGGGACGATTGGAATGTGCGTCTATGCTTCAGATTCCCTTTCGGAGATGGAGGTTCTGCGGATGGTGGGAAGCAGAAGCACTGGAGACCCATCTGAGCAGAAGGGAAGAGCTGGGAGGAGGGCCCTGATGGCACGATCAGGGACCCCGGGTCCAACACATGCTTTCATGCCTGGCCGGACCTCAGCAGGTCCTCTGCTCCAAGAATAAACCTGACCTCCGTGGTGCAAAAAGGTAACAAGGAAGAAAAGCCCTGGAGGATCCTCCCGCCCCAAACTAGATGCAGCAAGAGATGCCCCCTCTGAAATCCTCTTGGGGCCTCTGGTATCATTTGGGGTCTCCATCTCCAAGCACATGGCTTTCCCAGGTGGCTCAGTTGGTAAAGAATCTGCCTGCAGTGTAGGAGATGCGGGTTTGATTCCCTGGATTGGGAAGATCCCCTGGAGAAGGAAATGACAATCCACTCCAGTGTTCTGGCCTGGAGAATCCCATGGACAGAGGAGCCTGGTGGGCTACAGGCCATGGGGTTGCAAAGAGCTGGACATGACTGAGCACACACACACACACACACTTCTCCAAGCACAGATACTAGCTTGTGAGAATTCTCAGGGGTAGCCTAGATTTTTTACGTACATTTGAGAGCTCTGTCAGTGTCATTTGTGAGTATTTCTGATTGATAGGTGGAATGGTTCGGAAGGATTTTAAGAAATATCAGCGGCTGGAAACATCATTTCAACATTCCCCACCTTCCTCAACTGCATCTGCTGTGTGTACCGCAACCCATCTCTTGCCCTTTCTCTGAGTGATAACTTCTAATGATTCACAACGGCTTCTGATCTAGACTCCCAGGAAAAGAAAGAGGCCCAAGCTTTGAAAGAGCTGTCGAATACTTTTCTTTTCCCCAGAGCTGAAACAGGAAGGCCCTGTTTGTGTTGGCTACCCTCCCATCCACCCAGCAGCTGGTTTTGAACCTTGGGACGCATGTCACTGTTTTAATGCTGCCTACCTTGTGCTCCTTTGGCCTGAGACCATGCTCACACCAGGTGAAATATAAAGATGGACCACTCCCCTTTCCTCTATGACAGTTTCTAACATCTACCTGGTCACCTTCTGAACAATAGCAGATAGGTCTGTGTCTGTGTTTGCAGAACTGCTGTTCCCTTTGAAAAACTTTGAATGCTGGAACACACAGCTCAACAATCTTCAGTTCTCTCCATCAGGATAAATGTCTCTGAAATCGCTTCTCTAAAGCGGCTCTCTTTTATCCCTACCTGGGGAAAGCATGAGAATGTCTGAGATTTGGGGGAAAGGAAAGGGCCTTGTGATGTTTTTACAGAACTTAGAGAAAGCAGAAGGAACATTTATGTGCAGGGAGACACAGTTACAATCTCATAGGAGGAAATTTACAGTCACAAAAG